CCACACAATGGGCACTTGGGTGCATGGTATTGATAATTCCTGTAGAAGAGAGGTAATCCAGATCAACTCAGCAGAGGCTTGAGCAAGAATCCTGTATTCAACTTCCGTGATGGACCTAGAAATAGATGATTGCTTCTTTGAACACCAGGATATGTGATTGTTGCCAAGGTATACACATATCCCAAATGTGGATCTCCTATCATCTAAGTCATTGTCCTAGTCAAAATCTGAGAATCCTATGAGATGAGAACTTTTGTTTTTGGCGAAGTGTAGTCCATAGGACATGGTTCCTGCCGGGTATCTTAGAATTCTCTTTACTGCTATCCAGTGGGTGTCCATGGGGCATTGCATGAACTGACATACTTTGTTGACACTGTATGAGATGTCTGGTCTTGTGATACAAGCATATGGAAGGGAACCAACTACACTCCTGTATAGTGTGAGATCTTCCATTGGACTGCCATGACTTTTGGTGAGGGAAGAAGATGATATCATGGGTGTTAGAAGTGGTTTGGCATCAATCATCTTTGTCTTGATAAGTATATCTTGAACATACTTAGACTGAGAGAGAGAAAGACCTGAGGCAGTGTAGTTGATCTCAATGGCAAGGAAGTAGTGTATTTGACCTAAATCTTTTAAGGAGAACTGCTCTCTGGGAGTACCAATAATTGTTGAAATGGCAGCAATATTAGAACCAGTGATGAGGATATCATCTACAGACACAAGAAGCCATATGCATGAGGTAGATGTTTTCTCAATATAGAGGGAGCAGTCTGATTTTGAATTTGTAAAGCCAAGGGAGAGAAGTGATTGTTTCAGTTTGATGAACCATGTCCTTGGTGCTTGTTTTAGGCCATAGAGTGATTTGTGGAGCTTACAAACAAGGTGAGGCTGGTGAGGGTCTTCAAAGCCAGGGGGTTGAGTCATATAAAGCTCTTTATGGATATCCCCATGCCAGAAGGCATTGTTAAAATCTAGGTGTTTGATGTACCATCTATGAGAGAGAGCTAAGGATAAGACTGCTCTAATTCTTGTTGGTTTAACCACAGGGCTGAAAGTCTCATAGAAGTCAATGCCTGCAGCTTGGCTGTAACACCCCGCTTTTCCATAAATATCAGAGTCGCTTTTTTGCAAAAACTTTTCTAAATAAAACATTTTAATTTGTTGTGACATAAAATCTGTTACCTTTGTTTAAGTTTAACTTTAGAGAAAAACGGATTATCTTAAAATCAAACTAGCATGTGATACAGTATAAAATTCTGTCTGATAAATCAGATCAAACATAAAAACTGACATGCTAGTTGGAATATCGTAAAGGGACAGCGGAAGTCAAACGTGGTATAACATAACTGTACAATAATATACAATGGCTGGTAGCCATGTCCTTGACCACGATCCACCAACCTGCTCACTCCTCTGATCAGACCCTGTAACCTGAAAAACATAAAAATCGTGGGGCG